TAGGAAAAAAGTAAATGCTCAAGAGATAAGCGGTAAGATAACACCGCTGGTCTCGGGGGAGTGAGAGAAGGCTGGACAGATTTCTTCTAAACCTGTGAACAGCAGAGACATGTGGCACAGCCAGCACTTAAGCCTCCTGTTTGGAGTGCAGCGAGAGATAAGCCAGCCTGACTCCAGGCTGCACTCGTGCTGTTCGGTGCTGAGAGGAGAAACCAAACCTCCACTGCCACAAGCGCTGTCTGTGTCGATTGTATGCACAGCGCCCTGGATTATACATTTTAATTGTTCTAACAAGGCAGTTTGTTTTCCATAGCAGGTCCTGAACCATTACCTACTTTACTTACTGTTTTACACCTGTTTACATCGTTCTCTCTCTATGTACAGTATATATATCTATATTTATATAGATATATCTTTATATATTCTATATTTTCCCTTCTGCACAATTTAATCATCTTTTTAACTTGTGTAACTTAAACTAAAGTTGCATTTTAATTGTGTGTTACCCTTCTTTTATGCAAAGTAGTAATTATGATCAGATACAGTAGAGCAAGTAAAACTTTTCACACTTTGCGAAAAAGTGTACAGTGAATCGTGAGTCATCTGTGTGAAGAAGTGTCTGGTCACTTTATAATAATAATAATAATAATAATAATACATTTGATTTGTAAAGCACCTTTCATTGCTAACAGCAATCCCAAGGTGCTACAGGAGGCATAATAAAAACAAACAAAAGAAACAAAAGTTTAATCAAAGGCTTTTTTTTAAATGAAAGGTTTTTAGGCCTTTACTCAGAATAGAGGTGTGTCCTCAGATGCAAACTGTACACAATACTTCCCATTTAACTTGTAGAGTCATCTGAGAGGCATGTCACTCAGATCACGTTTGTCCTGTGAACTTTGATGCACATACAGAACACTTGCAGCGCTCCATATACAGATCGAACTTCAGAGCATCTGTGCAGGAAAGAGGAAGGTTTCCACACAGACTTGATCTAGAAGAGGAGGCTTTTTCTATAAATGGGAAGTGTTTATTTTACAACTTACTTTCTATATGTGGTATGTTTAAATTAAAATAGTTCGCTATCATCAGACTTGTATAGCAAGGGTGTCAAACTCAAGGCCTGTGGACCAAATCCAGCCTGCAAGAGCTTGCAAAGAATATAATATACAATACAATTGGTGTAATTGGTGAATATTTGCTTTCAATTATTTGCCCTAGACTTCTGCTTTCAGACGTAGTTTTTACCAGAACTGATAATAATCCAATGCACAGCCAATAATTTAATATAATACATTATATTTAATATATATTATATATTTATATATGTATATTTACATAGTCTTAACGTTAGAACCGGCCAATTGAGTGCAACCATAATGAAGCCTGAGAAGAAATTGAGTTTCACACCCCTAGTATGGCTTGATGGATTTTTGTACATAAAAAAACTCACACGTATTTATTGAGCTACATGAAAGAAATCAGCTCTTACGGATGCATACATATTAACAGCTGCATCTGTGGTTCAGCTTGATGTGCTCTGGAAACGTGGATAAACAAGGGATGGAATGTCCCCCATCAGATACACACCACAGAGCCTGAGAACTGCTTGCTGTTAATGATATCCCCAGTGTAATCCTGTATCTAAAAGTAGGAACATAGAATATTTAGCTGCTCTTCTAAGACGTCTTTGCCTTTTTGGGTCTTTGAAGAAAAGCTCTACAGAGATGTGTAAAAAAAACAATGTGGTGTTGTGTCTTTGTCGGTCTGACCTACTTTCTAATGCTGCACTTATATGTTTCTCAATCTCTGGTATAAAACCTGCTTGCTGTACCACTTCTAGTAAGTTCAAACCTAGGTCAGGTGACCGCAGCGTGTCTGAATGCTCCTTTAATGAGTCAGATTTGCAGTCTGTCAATTGTGGCAGGCGACAATGCTAACGAAGATTTTGATGGAAAAGGTAGTCTATTATGGACTAGAACAGCCAGAAGAACAAAAGTTTAGTCTTGACTTTTAATCAGGCAGAATTCGATACACAGGTAATCAGTCAATGTGGCCAAGAGTTAGAAAACGTTGCGCTGAAGCAGAGTTAGAAAGAATTATTACAGAGGAACAAGGGATGGGATGCTGACAGAAACTGACAAGACAAACTGGCTCAGACAAAGGGGCTACACAGACTCAGTGCACTGGGAAGGGTAATGAGGGACAGATGAAACTCACCAGGGCGGGGCATGTCATCACACAGGCGGGCAACACACAAGGGCCGATAGTAAAGAATCCGAAATGAGAGACAAAGTGCTGACGAAAGAAACAAGAAAAACATCACAGGACCTGTACAGAACAGATACAACATAACATATACTGCTGTCATGTTGTTTCCAATGTAGTTACTAATCCGCCTACCAGAAGCTTTAAATCTTGCTAATTAAAAAAATAAAATAATAACTTGGTATACGATTACCCATGTGAAACAGAAATTCACCCTTTTACACTGGGAGTATTTGTTATGGGCATGAGCAGTTGCCAGTATGGGTGTAAAACACAAATCTCATCACAATACAATATTATATCTACTGCTATTTAATACAATATTAGCTGATAACACAATGTCTGCCACAATTTAAATGTAGTTCAATTCCTGTGATTTATATAAGGAAATTGCTGGACAATAAATAATTTGGCCCATAACTTTGTTCAGAATAAACAGATGAGATTGAATGTGCTATTCAGGTTCAGGTTTCTGTCAAATCATCTAAATATTTGCAAAAGAGTGAATAGCTCATATGCATTAATGCTTACATTGCTGGCAGGGAGATAAAAGGCAAATCACTAAATACATAACAAAGCACACATTTGAATTGAATTTATTCCTGTAAAAAAAAACACAGCTGTTCCATGTGAAACAATACTGTCCCAGAGAGTTTATTTTGAGGTGCATTTTGGGGCGCACATCCACCAGCACATGAAGTAATCTTCCTTGGGGGGTGGGGGGGTGGTGGCGGATAAAGGAGGTTGCTAATAACAGCTGCCAGATGTGCAGAGTCCCCCGAGCCCATGCGCATTCTCACAGACAATGGAATGCTTGTGAGGAGCCCCAACAGGAAGTGAGGTCAGGGCTCTTGACCCCTCCCCTAAAGGCCTAGTGAGAGACACAGCAGTGGGGCAGCTTTTTAAAAATGTCCCATCATAAACCCACTGACAGTGAGAGTCCATAAAGGCTTTCTACTAACACACCCTATACAAACTGCTCATTTAACCTTCCAGCACTTCAGCACAGAATACAGAGCGTGAACAACAAAAGCTTTGAAGGTGCACCGCTAAACTGTAAAAGTTATCTCCATCTTTAACGGTGTTATTTCAAAGTTGATGAAGTTCCCTTTTTGTATTCTTTGGAGTGAGTTTCCACATACCAGCTGCTGCGGGGGCGGCAGAGATGAGTGCGGTAAGAGTGGATTGCACAATCATTAACGTATTTCTCCCAGTAAAACATCAGCAGACCCAAGATGAGTCAAAGTGGCTCAACCGTATGGTGGAAACCAGACCAGACTCATTTTCTGGTTTCTTTCCATTGGGCATGTTTAATTCACTCCTGTAGGTAGACTGTTTGATGAGTAGTGAGGTGCTTTCCCTGTGTAATTTGCTCTGATGTCATTCAGACAGGTAGTACTGCCATACGTGAGTCTGAAGAAGAACCATCTGCCATCTGGTCACTATAGAAGAAAAAATATCTTAAAAAGAAGAGAAACCTGAGGTGAATGAGTAAAATACTGATGTCACCATGAAACTTCTCCAGTTGACTAACTACAAAAATTAAAAAATTCCCAAGATTTCTAAAACGTCATGTTTGAATATGGAAATGAAACCAGACCGTAGTACCTAGGCAACTAAGTGTGTGTTTTGCAAGTAGCCCAAAATTAAACAATACCTTAAAAATGTTTTGCCTAGGTGTCCAATCTTTAGCTCTTTTAGTATTTTGTCTCAACAGAAGTCTTTCATATTCTGTTTATATATTTTCTTGTGAGCAGTTACTGTATATTTGTGGAAAACCTTACTGCAATTCCTGAGGCAAATCCACATATCTTTAGCACAGAAGCTGGGGAGCTGTTGGATGTTTTGTAAACAATCTAATAAATCTTATAACAAGATTACACAGCTCCTTCCTCGTATCACAGACACATTACATCATCTTCACTAGGGATGACTTCGGCTTTCAGCATAATGACTGTGAAGACATTATTCGCTCCTCTGGGGGCTGTATCCAGGCAACACATGCCCTGCTGTGTGTCTAGGTGCAGCCCTGATGACTAACAAGTCTTGACTTACCTTCACCTCACTCCTCCTCATTACACTTATACTCAGACCTTAGGGATATGCGTGAAAATCAGAGCAATGACTCACCAGAAACAACACATAAGGCAGTGCCACAGATGCAGGTCAAATACTCATTTGTTTATATATCATTCTCCTTTAACACTGTAGATTGTTTTAATTATGTGTTTTACTCTTATTTAGTATGTGTTTTAAAATTTTCTGTATCTCATCTTGCTTTGTTAAGCACTTTGGGCTGCATATCATAAAAGGTGTTATATAAATAAAGTTATTATTATTAATTCCATGAAGGTTCTCTCATGGGAAATGAGCCACATGAGTTGAAAAGTGTGGGCTGGGATTTGCTTTCGAGAGAGGAAGTGAAGGAGTGGAACATCTGGACTTCATTTGTGTGCTCCAGAGTGGTGAAAAGGTCCAAAAATAGGCTTAAAGGGTATTTTCCATATTAATTACTCTCCACAAACCATCGTTGTATTTCGACACTGAGATTCAAGACTCGTAATGGGCATATGACGTTTCTATACACTCTCTCTCTCTCTCGTGTGAGTGTGTGCGTGTGTGTGTGTGTGTGTGTGTTGTGTGTGTGTGTGTGAGTGTGCGTGGGTGTGTGTGTGTGTGTGTGTGTGTGGTGTGTTTGTGTGCGTACTGTGCGCGCGCCTCCCTGACGCTCCAAAGCCCCGTGGAGCTGTTGTTCCCAGAGAGGAGGAGGACAACCAGACGGACTGCTGGATTAGAGCAACAAAAGAGAAAGTGCTATTTAAAAAAAAAGTCTTCTTTGGCTCTCATCGTTCCCCGCTTTATTGTTTGGAGTCGTCGCTCTTTCGAGATCTTTTGCACGGTTTCCGCAGGGCCCATAGACCGGTATGGATTTACCAAAGACTAGACGAGACACGCCGTCTAGTGCTCCACCAAAGTTTTGATTGTCATCGCTGACTCTCGACACCGCAGCAGAGGAAAGCTGAACTTTGTCACAGCATTAGTCGAAAGTGGTGACCGCATGTGAGGACATTTGGAGACAACTATTTTTGTCGGAGCGTCTTTTCGCTGCTCTCTACTACTATATCTCTCATGGGGTAAGTAAAATATATGAAGTGTGACAGATCGCCTGCATGTGATGCAGCAGCCTAACAAAAGGATCTGATGTGTCTCTCGTAGCCTGCTACTGTAACAAAATGTATATAGTTTTGCGAAATTAGTTTATTTAAATCTCTAACATGTCAACTCCAAGAGTTTTTTTTTTACTTTGGAGTAAGTCGGTCTCTTTTGTCACGCAACGTCTCCAAATGTTTCGTTGACTAATACACATCGATGACAGCAGAATGACTAACATTAGGCAACACATGAGTTTTTTTAGCTTCTGCCTCGTTAATTAAACACAGTGTGTGTTTGAATGAATAAACACTGTTGTGGTGTTAAACATTAACAAGCAGGGCTACAGCTGTCAATCAAACATGGAGGGGGGGTGGGGGGTTGAATGCATCATGGTACATGTATAGCCTGTTGTTGGAGGCTCAGACGAGCTGCGTGCATCCCGGCCTGCACACACACACACACGCACACACACATTCACAAACGCCTTGTCTTGGAGCCGTTGCGAGCCTGCTGTGACCCCCCCCCCCCCCCCCCCCCCCCCAAAACCCCCTCTCTCTGACCCCCGATGTTGTTGAGGCTTGTTCATCCGTCACTCTAAAGAAGGCATTGTAATGAAAGGATGTATTAATAAGACAAAAGCCCCCATTATCCCCATGTACCGAAGTTAATCTCTTGGGGCTGGAGATGTGCTCCCCAGAGGAAGGCAGCACAAGCAAGGTATTAACTGAGTACAGTGCATTGTTGTCAGACATTTATAATAATCAAAACATAAGTATAGCCTATCAATTGTACACTGTCACAACAACAAGCATTTTTATTGTTATATACACTGTAATTGTGGGCCATCTATCACAACTGAAAGGCCGCACTGACCAACAGCATGTTGTTTCTGTCTGAAAAAGTGAGCCTTGCAGGGAGGGATGCAAAGGTGTCAGCAGTCCAGCCAAGAGGCATCCTGTTCTGGGGGAATCCTCAAATCACAGTGAGATAAGGTGATAAGGAGAAGGAACTAATGTTTATTGCCCAGATAAAAGCCCCCATCCGTCATCCTATACCCTGTGGACGCTCTGGTTCTGTCTGCACGGTGTTGTGCTCATTAGCAGGCTGTCTGAAACTGGAAAGGCTTGTGGTGAGTGTGACATTATCTTGAGGCCCAGTTGAGCTTACAAGGCAAGAAACCAAAGTCTCTAATGCACACAGATGCTACAAAGCCTGAATAAAGACAAGCAAACATCTTACTGTGATAACATCAGGGGTAAGGGGTGAAGAGGAAGCTCGCTCAGCAGCATTAGCAGAGGACTATCTAACTACTAAGTGTTGAAGGCCCTGTCAGCAGGTTCATTGATGCTGGTGTTGTGTGTAAGAGCAGCTTGGTTTGTTTGGGGGGGGGGGCACAAAGACTCATGGACTCAGGTGCTTTTCCCAGCATGCCTTGGACGGCTTTAGACAGGCGGACGGTCGTCTGTGTGCATCCAATGTGACCACATGGCTCATTGCACCAGGACAAAACCTGCCACCACACCAGGCCTGACTGTTGCCAGGTTACTTCACACACTTTACCATTTTTGGCCTGGGCAAGTCACCCCAGGGTGCTGTGAGCAGCGGCAACTTATTGGCCAGACAATGGCCAATAATATAGCTTAGGGCACACACAGTCTTTAACAGAAATGGAGCATTAGTCTTAACAGTCTATACCTTAAAATCGTATAAAGTCCAGCAGCCCATGACATCATGACTTGTGTGTTGCTGACCCATGGTTCTGTTTTCCTGCTGTAATCGGACCCTCCTCAATAGGGTCTGCCTGGGGAGGCGTGATAAATTAAGACAAATAGATGAGTTGAATAAATAAATAAATGTATAAGTGCATGGGTGGATAAATAAATGAATGGTCATTCAGCGGTGGGAACTGGATTTGCGGGACTTTTTTATGGGGTGGGACACTAGGGGGTTGCTGGCGGGGATGGGTGATGGGTGGCTGGTGTCAATGCCTGTAGGATGCTCGGGTTTCAGCTCAGGCCTGAGAGCGGCCTGCGAAATGAAACAGCAAGAAGAGTTTTCCTAAGGGACACTGACTTCTCTTTTGTTGTTTATTCTTACCACTTTATTCAACAAGATGGTGACAACACTGAAAGATCAGTGGAGAGCCTTGCTGGAGGCACCTTTACTTTTACCTGGTCAAATGAAACCAGTCAGAGGATACATAACTTTCAAGAAAGAATAGGATCACTTGGCAGATCTCAGGAGAAAATGCATGTGTTTATATCGCTTTTGCGTTTCTCTCTGTGATGGTAATAGAGTTCTGCAGAGAGCCATCTGGGTTCTGCAGGCTTCAGAGTTAAGGTGGTACTCCCCCTTTAGCTGGAAAAACACTTTCTTTGGGTGTGGCAGCTGGAGCAAAATAAACGGCTTCTGTTCGCAAGCTGCCAATGTGCAAGTCACAACACACAGCTGACAGCATGGAGCTTTCACATCCAAGAGCTGGGAGTGTCTGAGGTAGAGAAATAAATATGGTGTCCTCTGCTTTCTACCCATTTTATAAACACAATTGAGATCATGATGTCACTAAAGGTCACTAAAATCTGTCTTTGCTGGCAGGTATAGAAATACACAAGCGCACTTACTTGCACTATTTGTCTCTCTATTTCCAAACAACCTTTCTCCGTTGCTGTCAGTACTGTTCTGATTATCACATAAACATTTACATTAGCTGGAACTCGGTGTGGACTATTTTAGGAAAGGGTTCCACCTAATGAAATAATCCATTAGCTTTAAAGTTACATTCCTGCTCCACTTGAAGGACTTGAACAAACTATGAGACCCCCCATGACCAGGCACTGATGCTTGTAGCAGCATGCCAGGATTTCCTGACGCTTCCTGAGGTGGGGATAAGTCTGTTCTCCTGTCACATTTCAAGCTGCTGCCTGTTGGAAAAAATGCTGCAAATGATTTTTTGGAAAGCTCTGACAGGCATTTCTATTGTAGGAACAGTATATCTATTTCAGAAACAATGTAGATTGAAGCAAATGTTTCTGGTTACTGCTGTGGTGTTGGATGTATCACTTTGCAACCTCTCCTTATGGTATGCAGTGTGATTTATGAACTGAAGGGTTGCAACCATATACTGTCTTTTGAGGCAGCAGGCCTAATCAGTGTGGTCATGTTGTGGTTTTCCTGCTTTCTGGTCATACTCTGTGCCCCCTTTAGCAACATTAGGGAGCAGGTACACATGAATATGGTGTGTGTTTTTAAAACCTCCTCCTCCTGTTTCTGCTTCTCTCCTGGAAGCCTTTGTTATCCAGGCAGCTTTGTTTGTGCAGCTGGAAATCTCGACAGGATTACTTCCACACAACCCAGCTCCCCAAATCCAGGAGTAAGCTGGAGATAGTTTTCTTGGATTTAGAATTGTCCCATGAAGCCAATAAAGAACCTGTTCAAGCAATTAATTTGGTTTGGAACTGAAAGTTGATCTCCTCCCAATGAGCTCTTTTAGATGTTCTAATGACTGAACATTCAACTGTCATAGCTTGTTTTTGTTAGAAATACCTATTAAGATTGTTTATCCTGTGAAGGCCTCAGCCTCAGTGTTTCCGGGCTAAAATACACGATGGAATTAACCTCCAGTCGGGTCGTGACAAAGGCCAGACCTCTCCATTGCAACAGACAGATTGAGTGGAAGTGGAATCTGTTTACTTAAAACTAATGTGACAACTGCTCAAACATGTCCATTTCAGATGAGCGTTGTCTAGGTCGAAGTCAAGTGGCTGTTGTCTCTTCTTAAAAAGCACAACCACAGCAATACTCACTTCCTGTCCTGTAGGTTATTTTTGAAAATCATCACTTGGCAAGCCACTTCTGACCAAGCCAAGTTATTGACAGTGGTGGCATTTTCTTTAAAAAAATGTTGTGATGTTACAATAATGTACAACAGACATACAGTAGTATACCTCTAAAAGTCGGTAAGGTTAAAAACCAGACATTGACTCGTCTTTAAATACAGGTTGTGTTGGCCGTGCACAAATATTTTTTCACAGTTTAATTTACACAGTTTGAATGCCAGGAGAGGCTGACTTTTGTTGAGTTTTTCAGAAAAATAAATGTTCTGTTGCAAGCAAGAAGTTGTTAGAGTGTATAAAATATCGACGAGCAACTATAGATGTGTGGACACAACAATGTTCCCTCGCTAGGCAACCATGTTTTTTCTCCAAAAACCGAGTTGTGTTAAATGGATGTGTGTTTGCCAGAGGAGTCTGGAGTTGTTTTTCTTAGCTGGACCATGAGGAGAGATGGAGGGCCTCCATCAATTTATCATTTTATCAGCAGGCACTAGGCAGAAGTAATCAGGGCTCAGTGCCTCTGTTTGTCAGCCTGTGGGGATGGTATCAATTTCCATTATGTTGTGCTTTGCTTTGACTATAGCACGCATTTGATTTTGACATGATGTCCTGTGGTGATGCTCTAAAAGTCAGTGGAACAAATATGAGTTTCACAGCCGCAACTAATCCTCCCCCGTGACTTTGATACCTAGGCCCTCTGACCCCCACCCCTTCCCTTTAAAAAAAAAGTTATTACGTCACAGCGTATACTTCAGCGGAATATCAAAACAACGGCCCGGGGTGCAAAACACATCAATGAAAGTGTCCCTCTACCACACAAAACAACACCTGTAAATAACCCAATTTGTGTTGTTTGAAATTGAAAAGGATATTGCATTGTGTTTATTTTGAAGGCGAATTTACGCTGTTGACAGGAAGTTGTTGTTGCTATGGAAACAAGAAAAGCTTCACAGCGGGCGGAAATTGTCATAAAGTCCGCGATAATAAAACGCACCCATTTAGAGGGACGATATGATTGGTCAATTGTACTGTCATTTGACATTACTCTCTCGTTGAGTTACTATAGCGGGCCCTCTGTGAATTTACAGCAGGACCACCAACAGCACCTATCTTCACCTCGCTGAGACGAGCTTCATTCATTTAACCCT